TCAAGCCTTAGTTTTCAGGCAAGTGGCCAGAACTTTCCACCAGCTCTGTAAAGTAGGTGGTAGTGGTCTATAATTATGTTGGCCTCATCTTTTAACGCCTTGAAAATAATAATCTGTGTAGTTTGTAGGAGTGAACCCAGCTACTTAAAAAGTTGTGAGCTATTTCAACAGGTTACATGTGTATAGGAAAATAGGTAAAGACAATTTTCTTCCTTTCTATTATGGGGGTAAAAGCAGGCTTTTTTGTTTTACCCTTTTAAATTCATTTAAAAAGTGCATGTCCTTCATAAAAATACTTGTAATTATTGGTGTGTAAGATGCTTTTGACATGTTTGGTCAGACAGCCTGTATGTGAAGGGCCATGGGGGCCAGCGGCTGGCTGAAGGCAGCTGTGTGCACACAGTCCTCACACAGAAATGACTAAGCTGGCTGTTTTTCTCTCCATGGAAGTGGACACCAAGAGAAACAAAGCAGTTCCAGAAAACTAGCCTTGGTTACAGACTGATAGAAAATCCCATAGAAAGGACACCTTAAAATATTTTCCTCGAGCCTCTCCCAGTACTCACTATGAGTAAAATTTTAATTTTTAAATACAAAGAACATTTTACAATGTCAGTTTCTGGTTTTCACCAGGAGCCAAACTGACATATAATGACCTCTACTTAGCATTCCCCTAGATGTGTTTCCAAACTGCACACAATGCTGTTCTTAGAATGGTGTTTGTCAAGACTTGTTAGTGATGGCAGAGGGTTGGGCATAAATAATCTTTCCCCCTCCATTTTCTGCCAGTTTTTCTGGTCACAGAAGCTTTTCTGTATCTGGGGTAGAAGAATCCTAAATAGTGGGTGTTAACCTGTTGACATACCTGTGGATGTGAGGAGATATGAAATAAGAACACATTTATAAAAATATGCACAGATGAAATTAAAATTTGATTTTCTATCAAAAGCTATTAGATTCTAAAGAATTATATGAATTATATTTTAATATGTTAAATGATAGTTGAGATTGCAAAAATTATTTTAGTTGCAAGAATGTAATTAATGCTATTATTTATACAAAATAGTTTTATGATGCTATTCTTTTTTTTTTTTCATTTATGCATTTGGTACAGGGTCTCACTATGCAGCTTGGTCTCATACTGATCCTCCTGTTTTCAGCCTTCTCTGTGCTAGGATTACAGGCATGCGCCACCACGCCTGGACTCAGGTGCCAGCTCAGCATGGCCAGGGCATGGGGCTGGCGCAGCATGTACTGGGGATAGAACTCTGGTCCATGTGCTTGCCACAGCAGGTGCTTAGTTCACTGAGCTATCTTGCTGGCCTTTATGATGCTATTCTTGGCAATAGAAAATGCTTCCACTCTCATAAATTTGTTGGGTATCATTTTTTGAAAATATGTCAACCATAATAACAATGTTAGAATTTAAGTTGTCCTATACAGCTGCTACATGTTGACCTAAACCCTACTACTTTTTTCAGATGTCCATTAGTTATATTGTTACATAAAAATTGGATGCTGAAGAGTGAAACAAACTTTCAAAGTAGAAAAAACTCATTTTTAATCAACAGAATTTAGAGCATGGCCTTTCCATCTTCTCTGAAAACAGCTAGTCCTCCCAACTCCATCCCATTTTGTTCTGCACCATTAAACTGTACCATGGCACCAACATTCCCCAGAAACCTCTTGAAGCTGAATTCCTTCTGATGCTGGGTACCTTGTCCCATAGCAATGGGGAGGGCAAACTGGAAAGGAAGAGGGTGTTGGCATAGAGTCACCTCATTGCAGGCTGCAGTGGGTGGTAGATCCAGTTTGTATTTCTGATATAAAACAATACATACAGTTTTGAAATGAGGGCATTTGCTCTCTGTCATGAAGAACTTCTAGTTTGTCTCATTTGAGACAGGCTTCGAGGGTGTGTGCAATAAACCACGGTTATTAACAGCCACTCTGCAAATCACACATAACCAAAAGGCCATCTTTTAAATTAGAGGATCTAATCCCATACCATTTATGCATCATCATCTGAGACTAACATAGGAAGAGTGTATAATGGTTTTCAGAACATCTTTGGATCAAAAGAACCTGTCTTATATTAAAGTTTTCATTAAAAAAAAGTACAGTAGTGATCGAAGCATTAGGTAACTTTGTCCACTGTTACAACTTCTAAAGCAAATGAAAGAACCATGATTCTCCATGTTTACTTTTAACTGGGGGAACGTGCAGCATGTGTTTAAGAGGGGCACTGGAACTTTCTGGACATTTTCTAGAGGACCAGGCCTTTGTAGTCTATTCTCAGAAAAACAGAAACGAATGATACTAGGCTTGGTTTCAAATATGAAAGTGTCTTTCACCAAAACCCCTACCAGCTTGGGTCTCATTGGAACTAACTTTAGTAAAAATTAACACAGTCATGGACTTAGCCTTTGTTTTGGGGGTCTGAGAGCCAAGAGCTCCATCACAGGTGCTGGGGTTTCATGGGAGGCCTAGGAGTTCCACTAGGTCAACTTAAAATGGGAATCGTTGTCTTGACAAATGCTGGCGAGTGATGCTTGACAGCAAAGCACACGTGGCTTTACCCTTTTACGTAATCTTTTACCTACAGCTGTAATGTAATGCTAAACTGGTTTTTTGGACTTTCTGGAACAATATCTAATGACCAAATAACACAATTCTGTGACGTTTAGCAAGATGCAAATGCCAGACACCGCAATCATGAACACAGTAAAGACAGTCTTTTCTGTGGGTCTGGAAATAAAGCAGTCCACCGTATTGGGACAAGGCCAACTACTACATTTCACCAGGCGCTGCATGAAGAAGCCGTTGTACATAATGTAAAAGACGTACATGAAGGCACCTTCAAAGATGACCCGGAAGAAGACACTGGTTGTGTAGGTCCACCACAGCGACCCTTCTATACGGACCTTCTCGTTTTTGATCTCCTCAATGTCCTTAAATTCACTCTTCATTTCTCCCTTAATGAACTTTCGTTTTTTCTCATGTCTCCGGTAGGCAACGTGCATGGCTACCAGGAGTGCTGGTGTGGACACGAAGATCAGCTGCAGGGCCCACAGGCGGATGTGAGAGATGGGGAAGTAGTGGTCATAGCAAACATTTTTGCAGCCAGGCTGGAGGGTGTTGCAGGTAAAATCGGACTGCTCATCTCCCCACACCTCCTTAGTGGCCACCACGAGGATCATGACTCGAAAAATGAAAAGGACTGTGAGCCAGATTTTCCCAATACTGGTGGAGTATTTGTTGACACCTCCCAGGATAGTATGGAGTGCACCCCAATCCATCCTGTCCAATGAGTGGTTGGTACTAGAAAAGACAAATGAACACAACAGAATAGTCATTAGCTTGGGCAAGACTCAGGTGATTTCTCTGTTTGGGTATGAAAGTACCCTGAAGTCCTTTCCTGATTCTTATACAACCTTCCAACAAAACTT